TATCAAATTAAAAGTGAAACCATTTGGCGCTTTTTCGATAAAAATGTTCAGATTCTGTTGGGAGGTATGTTTTGGGAGGTATGTTAAAATTTTCTAGAAAAAAAAGTTTTTTCCTTCTTTCAAATTCATTCAGTGCATCACAATTAATTACATTGTCCCAGGGTTAATAAAATGTACATCGTTAAACATAAAAGTGAGAAAAGTGCAGAAATTTGTCTGAGGGCTTTATAATCTCTGACTAAGTGAATTCATTAATATTCTGAAATCTTTTATACTCTCGGAGCATACGGATTCATGTAATACTCTGAAATCTTTAATACTCTCTGGCCAAGTGGATTCAGTTGGTACTCTAAGATATTTTTTACTTTCTGGGCAAAATAGATTTATGTAGTACTCTGAAATTGCTTATGCATGCATGTGAATTCATGTATCTCTTTGATACTTCATATTCTCTGCATGTTGTGAATTCATGTATCTCTTTGATACTTCATATTCTCTGCATCTTGTGAATTCATGTATCTCTTTGATACTTCATATTCTCTGCATCTTGTGAATTCATGTATCTCTTCGATACTTCAAATTCTCTGCAATCTGTGAATTTATGTATTGCACTTCGATATTTTATACTCTTTGCATGCATGTGAATTTTGTAGCACTCTGAAATCCTTCATACTGCCTGAGCGAAGTGAATTCATAAAGTCTAATATTTTTTACTCTTTTATCAAACTGGATTCAGTTAGTACTCTGAAATGTTTTATACTCCCTGAGTTGTCTATAAAGGATAAAAATGGTATACAAGAGCCTCCTATTTATCCTATAAACTGTTGTAATAAATATCCATTTCAGATAACTAAAGTCGGGTCTCCAAATCCACAAAATTACCCTGATAAGCTCTGTCAGGCATTTATTTGTTTATTGGTTGAAAATAACACTTAAAGCAGAGTTTTTCGGTATTTAGGGGCTCAACCACAATACGAGTATGTAAGTATTATAGGTTCTATTTATATATTTGTTTTGTCTGTATATTGGCTTGTTTTTGGGAAATACTTAAAAAATAAAGTACAATAAAAGCACAAATTTAAGTATATTTCACAAAAAACTATTTTGTTTTGTGATTGGTGCTTATATATATATATATATATATGTTGGATTCGATATATGATACACCTGTAAAATGGTATAAAATTTGTCTTTCTTTATATAAAGCTGCAATAGTTATACACAAGTTATAAGAAATATAGTTATACACAAGTTATAAGAAATATAGTTATACACAAGTTATAAGGAATATAGTTATACACAAGTTATAAGGAATATAGTTATACACAAGTTATAAGGAATATAGTTATACACAAGTTATAAGGAATATAGTTATACACAAGTTATAAGGAATATGCGATAATTGTGAAATTTAGAAAAACAAAAGAAGTCTTAATCTTAATTAAAGTTGACTTTTTAATACTAATTGATTATGTATTATTAAAACTTTTTTATCAAGTTGGGATTTTTCGAAAAGAAGGCTTTTTGTGGATGTAAATGCCAAATATTTGTTATTGTAGATAAGAAAAGCTGGAAGTGGAGACAGAGTTTGCGGAGACTTGGAGACGTAGCGTGAGACACGGAGATGAGTTTGATTGATTAGGAGGCCATTCTGCGAATCGAGGTTCTGGAGGTCAGTTCGCGAGGCTATTGGTTGCTCTGCACCCTCTTCCTTGTCTACTATCTGAGCTATCTTCTTACTACTGTTTTATAAATATGAATACTGCAATGAAAAAAGAATAGCAAAGCATGCCCAACTAATAAATCTTTCTATCCTAAGAAGAATAACAAAACATATCCAAAAAAATACGTTTTCAATAGAAACTGTCTTTGTACAGTGGTACGAGAATATGTTAATACAATAAAGACGACTTTTATTTAAGGTTTGGTGGTTCACGAGCTTTTTTCGATTTACAAGTTAACAAGTAATCAAAGGCTTTTTTAATTGACAACATCTGTTGACTTTTATGTTCATGTGAATCCATGTGCAGCTGTTTAACAGCGTGATTTAAATCAAAATTGAAATCAAAAGTCGTCTTCATTGTATTAATATAATCGCTTACCACTGTATTAGAAAAGCTTCTCTTGATTACTTGTATACTTGTAATTCGAAAAAAGCTTGTATAATATTAAAACTTAAATAAAAAAGTCGTCTTCATTGTATTGATATAATCGCTTATCACTGTATCTTAGAAAAAGCTAATAAATAATAACAGAAATATTTCAAAGAAATAGATATGCTCTATCGAAGCCATGTTGTCATGTAGTTGAAGATATTGATGGCATTTTTGAGATTTAGTTGAGATAAAGCTTATTAAAAATACATCAATACATCAAAAAGACTACATTTTTGGGTGTTACTAACCTTATAGAGTCTAAAAATTATTCCTTTGCTCTAAAAACTAACTTTAACTTTTTAGCTTTGAGTCTTTGCCAAAAACTCTGATTTTCACTATATCTTTGGAACCAAATGTTGTAGACCTTAGATATTTCAAACTATGAATTATGTTAGATCAAATATTCTGAATTTAAAATATCAAAGGTTTACAACATCAGGTTCCAAAGTTTTGAATATTTAAGTTTTTGCCAAAGACTCAATTCCTTTAATAATTGACAGTAAGAAAGAATTGAAAAATAGAAAAGAGAATACCTTTATTACATCTTCCATCATGTTATAAGCAGCTAATATGTCTAGGTTTCGTTTTTGCAAAAGTTTTAGTTTAAAGTATCTTAAAATTTTGTATATTAACAGTGAATTTAAACAAGTCCTTAGTCTTTGTCATTGTCAGGTGTTACTTTTAAAAGTTGTTTCCTTTTAATTTTGTATTTTCCAGGGGGAGGGCCCCCCCTAGGTACGCCACTGTTAGAAGACATGCTATAAAGTAATACTAACTAGTAAGCGAACTGGGGAGTGGGGTAGTGGGGCCGTAGGATGCGCTAGAGAATGAAAAAAGGAAAATTTTAGGTTTTAACTTTATGAAAGATCAAAGAAATTAGGATTTAATGCTAAAAATATTCTCCTGTAGCGCGCTTCATTACAGATACATTTTGTCTTACATTAAAAATTGAAAAATCTGCCCCATTTTCTTACAAAATACTCTAATTACCTTTGTGTTCATAATTCATTAAAAGGCGTAGAGTGCCTTCTACATTTACTTTGCTTGGCTGTTAGTATGTCTGTTTGTAGTTGTATCCAATAAACGTCAAAACGGCTGAACCGATCGGGCCCAAATTTTGTGTGGGACCTCACATGACCCTAACTCCTAAGGAAGATTTATGAATGAATTACAAAAATTTGCCTCCAACAATATTGGATTTTCATTAAATTTGAAAATCCATTAAATTTTTTTTATAAAATCCGCAAATTATTTTTTGGTTTTGTTTTATAATGTATACAAGGAGAAAATGGTCAAAATTGAAATAGAAGATGGGCACGAAGTGCCCTAAAAGCCTATTATAATGATTTTTTTAATGTGCTTGATTATGATAAAAATAAAGTTCATGTTACTCAATGACCTAAAGATCCAATCGGTCAACAAACGAGGTATATCATATATATTAGCAATGATTGCAAAAGATATGTTTCAAAAATAATTTTCTTCATATTTTGTTTCCTTATCACTTTCAAGTGTGATTAAAAATGTTGTATGATTTCTCTTTGAAATTTACCAAGCTTTTAGATTATAAGCTAAGATTTTAAATTCACGAGCTATGGTCTCAATTGGCCAAAAAAAAAACATAAAAAATCCCTCATGTCTTCAGAAAATCAAAGCTCATATCTAGATAACCTGGATTAGGTTAGGTTAGGATGGATAGGAAAGAGAAAAAGGATAGGGAGAAGGAGGGGGAGGAGACAAGTTAATATTTTTTCAAATTTTGAATTTATGTATGTTGATAGAAACGACGACGACGTCAGATTGGTTGTATCTGCGTAGAGTCTAAAAATTTGATTTAACTTAATAAATAAACAAAAAAATCCACCAAAAAATTCGTTAACGTGATGCAAAAAATAAAATGGAAATTATTTTAGAAAATTCAATTTCTTTTTTAGCAAAAGAACCATAATATAAGATTTGTAAAATGTCTGTACGCGGTAGACAAACAAAAACTTATTTGCGGCATTCTACAAATTCCAGATCCATTCCGCGGTTTCCGCCATTGTTGTGTTGCCGGTTGTTTGGGTAATGCACGTTTTCCAGCGGGTTTAACCAAAAAAAAAATTAAAAACGTTCGTTTACACAGAATTATCGTGTCTTGTTAATATAAATCGTTAATATTTTAAATTTTACGGTATCACTCATTTAATCTACCTAATGGCAGTGAACATTGGTGAATTTATTACAGAATTTTCAGAATAACTTGTTCCAAGAGAACGATTTTTGGACCCGCCCCCCCTCCTATCACTCTTGTACAGGGATCAGTTATGTAATACATGGATATAAGTGGTCGCAGCGCCCTACCCTGTCCTAGCCGTGGCGCTCGGCCCCCTAGCCTGTCCTAGCCGCAGCGCTCGGCCTCCTAGCCTTTCAATCTTTTGGTATTTTCCTAATATACGATTTTTGGACCCCTCTTCTCCCCCTTCTGTCAATTTTGTACATGGATCTAATAAATTGGTGATGTGGCCGTAACGCCCGTCCTTTAGCCTGTCCTTGCCACGGCACTCGGCCCCCTAGCCTGACCTAGCTGCAGCGCTCGGTAATTTCCTAGTATACGATTTTTGGACCCCCCCCCATTTTTATTATTGAAGGTTAGGTTAAGACAATTTCTGGGCCGAGCGCTGCGGCTAGGATGGGCTAGGGGGCCAAGCGCTGCGGCCAGCACAGGCTAGGGGGTCGGCACTTCGGCTACATGATCAATTTTACAAAATGGATGGGGGGGTCCAAAACTCGTTCTCTAGGAAATTACCATAAATTTACGTAAAATCTGTGTATGTAGAAACAATAATAGTAAAAACACAAATATATTTTCTTGGGTATTTTCAGAATCAATTCTCAGATCAAAATGGCCGAGACCGATGTTAACGAAGATCTTTTGGACTACGAAGAGGAGGAGGCAGCAGAGGTATAAACAAATATTTCATTTATTACTTCTGAAGTTAATCTAAAAAAAAGTTATTATTGATTTGGATTAGTCCTAGTATAAGATGTTTGCGCCCATCCCAGTATTATTACTTTTCGCAAAAGTGAACATAACATTAAAGTTAATATTTGTTCTGCCTTATTCCAGGGTTGGGATAAATTAAGACAATTCATCGGCCGAGCGCTGCGGTTAGGGCATACTTGGGGGCCGAGCGCCATGGCTTGGACAGCTAGGGGGCCGGTGCTGGGGCCTAAAGTGTTAATTGACAATGTGCTGCATACTAGAGTGATTAACAAAAATTACAAGAGGGGGCGGGGTTCCAAAATCCTAATCTATTGAACTACCGGGTAGTTGTGACTGTTAGTGTTTAAAGTCTAGGGTTTCATTAATCTACAATCTTTTATTTTTTGTTCTGAACTCAACGCGCGGTGATAACTTTCATTTTAAACGGAATAGAGTGGTTCCGATCAATTTATAAATTGTACCATTCTCTCGATTGAACTTTGTGTTTCTTGTAACTGATATTGTTACATCACTTCGGTTTAAAAAATTGCTACCTATTTTTATAAATATTTTGTTCATTATAGGCCGGCGGAGATGCTGGTAAGGATGCCGTGAAGACCAAGAAGGAAGGAGTGAAAGGAAACTATGTTTCTATTCACAGCTCAGGATTCAGGTTCAAAATTATTTATATAACGAGCAACATTAAAGAGGCTTTGACGGTGATTCGCCCCCCCGCCCGGCCTCAGTTACGATTTTTATGGGGTTTAAAAGTTTATCGATCAAAGGTGTGTTTCTCCGAAAAAAAAACTTGCTAAATGTCTTCATTGTTCCTATTGTATTTGTAAAACAATTTTGTGTTCAGAGATTTCCTCTTGAAGCCTGAGATACTCCGCGCCATTGGAGACTGTGGTTTCGAGCATCCTTCAGAGGTCCAACACGAGTGTATTCCCCAGGTTAGAAAACGAAATTCTTAAAATTTTTAATTGTTCATTTTTTAAAAAAAATTTCGCCATACATTTGCTCACTATTTTTTCTTTCGCCTTATTATAAAAAAAGAGGCTTTATTTGGGTTCTTGTTAAAAGAATTGTTTAAACCTTATATATTTCAGGCTGTGTTGGGTATGGATATCCTATGCCAGGCCAAGTCTGGGATGGGAAAGACAGCTGTGTTTGTTCTTGCAACTCTTCAACAGCTGGAGCCAGTAGATGGGCAGGTANCAAAGTTTTCAAGATATCCTTTTCTTCACTTCTTTGCCATTTTAATGTTACAAAGAAAAGACGGATGTAAATATAATATTCATCTCAGGGGTTCACTAATTTGTATTCAGAAATTATCTTGAAGTTGCCCGTGTTTTTTAATGTTTCTGATGCATGTCAACTTTCATTAGTTTCAAATTGTTGTAATTATTGCTTATGAGTATAATGCAAGCATTCATGACTTAGATCAACAAATTTTCAAGAAAAAATTTTTCTGTTTTGAACGTTCACAATTCATCCCTAGTGATCCTAAAAAGAATCTGGGTCGTACTAGCAAAACCGTTTTGATAATAATCTGATAAACAAACGTACAAGTTGGATTTATATGTGATGCTGAATTATTCTATTTAAAGGTTTCTGTTCTTGTAATGTGTCACACCAGGGAGCTGGCTTTCCAGATCAGTAAGGAGTACGAGAGGTTCAGCAAGTTCCTCGCTGGTGTCAAGGTAAATAGAAGTGTTATTAGTTTGTTTTGCTGTCGTAAATTTTTTTACAAGATGCCAAGAGAGGGGGGGNCTGGCCTGACTGGCTACTTTATTATTCCGGCTGAAAACTTCACTGGCCTGACTGGCTACTTTATTATTCCGGCTGAAAACTTCACTGGCCTGACTGGCTACTTTATTATTCCGGCTGAAAACTTCACTGGCCTGACTGGCTACTTTATTATTCCGGCTGAAAACTTCACTAGCCTGACTGGCTACTTTATTATTTCGGCTGAAAACTTCACTGGCCTGTCTGGCTACTTTATTATTCCGGCTGAAAACTTCACTGGCCTGACTGGCTACTTTATTATTTCGGCTGAAATTTTTATTGGCCCGACTTGCCACTATAATTCCGGCTGATAATTTTTTTGTCCTTACTAGATTTTAATTGTTTTAATTACTAGGTTGGAGTTTTCTTCGGAGGTCTCCCTATTGCTAAAGATGAACTTGTTCTCAAGAATAATTGTCCTCACATTGTTGTCGGAACCCCTGGCAGAATCCTTGGTGAGCATTTTTTATATTTAGTGGACCTAAATCTGCTATCTTTTGTTTTAACCATAGAGAATAGAATATATAGAGAGGAATTTACTGGAAAAAAGTGTAAAGCGGCCATTTTGTTGTACTGTTTCCATACTGCAGGTGTACTTCACATATTTATGCTATATAACCTGTTGGGCCCTGGAATATAATTTTATAGAAAATCTAAAATTATTGTTAAAAGAGAACCAAATTATGAAATAGGCTGGTTTCATAATTGACCAATGATCATTTCACATAGACTCTATGCCTTCCACTTTACAAACGATGATTTTCCGTTATACTATAAATCAAATGATGTTTTTATTTACCTAATTCATTATAAAGTTTATTTAACAGTTTAAAAAATTCGAAATTGATATGGATAGTCTAGGGAACGTACTGTATTAATGTACTGTACTGCATATAATTTGTGAACATTTACATGATTTGTACACTTTGAACTCCCTTTCAGGCTGAAAGGGACTGAAAAAATTCATACCGAGAGATTCTTTTAATTCCTCTCTATATATTCTATTCTCTATGGTTTTAACCCAAAACTTGAAGATAACATTTTCGTTGCAAGGTTTAGTAAAGTAACTTTTAATGTGACAAAATTTCGAATGTTAGAAATTCGAAGACATATATTAACTGCAATAAAGACAAATTATAAGAAACTCCCATGATAATAAAACTATAAGAAGAGTTGGATTATGAAGCAAAACTTGGATCATTTTAGTCGTAAAACAATTTTTGTAATTTTATTTTAAAAAAATTAGCGCTGACCCGTGGTAAGAAGCTGAACCTCAAGAACTTGAAACATTTTGTTCTGGACGAGTGCGATAAAATGCTCGCAGAGCTTGACATGAGGCGGGATGTTCAGGTATCTAAAAAAAATAAAGTGAATTAATTTTTGACGTTTGGAAGAAGTTTAAATGTTTATTCAGGAACTGGCAAGAAAAATCTATCCGCCAATTTTGAATTATAAACTTCCCCCGGCCCCAGAACTTGTATATTTGTTTTATTCGCTGAATTGATTCTTTAGCCCAAAAGGATAATGCCTAAAGCAATGCCTGAAAAATATAATTTGATTTGGATAAAAAGTGTCGAAAAAACAAAACATCAAAAATCATTCTGAAATTCTGAAAAATAAACACCCTTTTTTCCTCATTTTGATACTTAACCTATAAAACCATTTAAGTACATTTAATTCTCCTTTCGTAACTTCAAAATGTCAAGTGAAGTAAAAGAAGAAAATTGAACTTATTTGTTGTCATCAGAAGTAAAGCTATTTCTTTTTTCTCCTCTTTTTCTTTGATGTTTAGTAAACTAAAATCAAACACGCATGAAGCCATCCACCATCATTAATGTTTCTTTTATCAAGGGAAAAAACATTATTTGACATTTTTGAAATTGTCTGTTTACTATTTGGGAACTTTTTAGGAAATTTTCCGATCCACTCCTCACGAGAAGCAGGTCATGATGTTCTCCGCCACCCTCAGCAAGGACGTGAGACCCGTCTGTAAGAAGTTTATGCAGGTTCACATTTTTATAATTGTTCAATTTTGTTTTGTTCATTTCGTGTTGCTTTCTATAGAATTTTTTTTTTTCAAGAATCGCATTTATTTTTCGAAAATGGATTTTTTTTCTAAAAATAAATTTCAACTTTGTTATATTCCACGGGCAACGCTGGGAACTTCAACTAGTTGTGTATAATATACACTGTATTTAATATATTTTAGGATCCTATGGAGGTGTATATTGATGACGAAGCTAAGCTGACCCTGCACGGTCTGCAGCAGCACTACGTCAAGCTGAAGGACAGTGAGAAGAACAGAAGACTGTTCGAACTCCTGGATGTTCTAGAATTCAACCAGGTATAATACAGACAATTTAATTCAGGGGTGTATATTGTTCTAAAAAAGTATCCCCGCCCTCTTAAGAAAAAAAGGTGCTGACTGGCGTTAAGTTTAACTTTATTCTTGGTTTTAGGGTTGCCATAATAAATAAAAAATATTCTTCCTTGGCTGTTATATTCATATGTTCAGAGCTGTACAGCTCTGGCTACTGGTATAACAACCTTCCTAGGTTGTTATATTTGTAAAGAGTGTTCAGCGTTGTGTAGCTCTATCCCAACTACTGGTATAACAATGTAGTTTTATATTTTATATCCCTCCTAGGTTGTTATATTCGTGAAGAGTGTTCAGCGTTGTGTAGCTCTATCCCATCTATTGGTCTTACAATGTAGTTTTATATTTTATATCCTTCCTAGGTTGTTATATTTGTGAAGAGTGTTCAACGTTGTGTAGCTCTATCCCAACTACTGGTGGAACAGAACTTCCCTACCATTGCTATTCACAGAGGAATGAGCCAGGAGGAGAGACTATCAAGGTAAAAAAGAAAAAAATGCAATTCTGTAAGATCTAGGAAAATTTATTTTGTTGAAAATATTTTTCCTTTCCCAAGTGCTTAGGATCTGGATCTGGATCCGCAAGATTTTGGCTTCCTGGATCCGGATCCAAGGGGCAAAATATAAAAAAAAAATACTCTCAAACCTCACATCTGAAGTATTGAAAAAGAGTTTATAAAACCTGATTTCTGAAAGGTTTATCAAGTTTTAGCATAAAAATAATCGAAATAGATAAGACAAGATTATTTGAAAGTTCTGTGTTAAAAAAAAAAACTCAGTAAATTTTATGGAAACAGCTTGGATCACGATCCGGATCCATGTTTTTCCAGTGCGGATCCAGGATCTAGATCCGGATCCGCATCAAAATTAAATGGATCCTAAGCACTGCCTTTCCCCCTTTCATAGATCTTAGAGAAAATTATTTTAACGGTGAACAATACCATTAATGAATAACTAAATAAGTAGTATTAAAATTGTTTTTCATTATTGTTGTTGTTTAGATATCAGCAGTTCAAGGATTTCCAGAAGCGTATCCTGGTAGCGACCAACCTGTTCGGCCGAGGAATGGACATTGAGCGTGTGAACATCGTGTTCAATTACGACATGCCGGAGGACACCGACACCTACCTTCACAGGGTTGCCAGGGCAGGAAGGTTCGGTACCAAGGTAGGTCATTTGCATTTTACATTGATTTTAAAAATAGATTTTGAAGATATTGGTTGTGGGGGATTGGAAAAATTTTCGAAGATATCGGAATGAAAACAGAAGAGTTGACAGTAAGTATCCCCCCCCAACCCATCCCTCCTCCTTTTTATCCTTTTACTAAGGTTTCACCTAAATCCTTAAAATCAATGATATAATATATTTTTTTCAGGATGATTAAGTTTTTATTTCAGGGTTTGGCTATCACCATGGTGTCCGACGAGGCCGATGCAAAGACCCTGAACGAGGTCCAGGAGAGGTTCGAGGTTGACATCACCGAACTACCGGAGGAGATCGATCTATCCACCTATATCGAGGGGCGTTAGACACAAAGCCTCCCTCCTTCCCCCCTAGCTATTTACAGTTTTTGTACGATTTAAACTTTGAAAATTTTAAACTCCAACCGAAGTATTTTTTATTAATAGAACCATTTTGAATGTTCATCATGATAAATGCTTTTAGGAAATACTAATACTTTCGTTTTTAACATTTTGAGAACTAGTTCTTTGTAAACTTTTATAAATCGTTCTAAGCCGTGCTTAGCCCCTGCCCCGAACTATAAAGTATTTTACACTGTATTCTTCTATCGTATACTTTGTAATGAAAAACAGGATTATTTTTGTTGCATTTTTTAATCTGTAATTTTGTCGTGTTCTGTTTGAAAACTCCTTGTAATTAAATTTTGAAAAAAAAATGTTTTGTTTATTTGTCCCCCCTAGTTTCAGATGTATCCAGAATGGCATTACAGCAATGGTATAGGAGGGATGGAGACGGGTTCGGACCTGGTATTTATATGCCAAGACAAAAAACAAATTAGAGCTCATAGGTTCGAGTCTTACAAGTGCTCTTCCTTTTCCGATCTGCCATATTCACAATTCTACCTTAAACCAGTGCTTAGGAGCAATTTAATTTGGATGCATATCCGGATCCTGGATCCGCACTGGAAAAAAATGGATCCGGATCCAGGTCATGTCTTGCGAATCCAACGGATCCGGATTCTAAGCACTGCCTTAAACCATGATCTGATCATAAATGTTTAATCGTTATATGTTGTCTTGTCTATAATAGCCCGGATAAATTTGAATATTTCCCGGCTATTAAAACAAACCATAACAGTAAAATCGGACTGAATATCCGGAATTTGGTAAGAAATTTGAACTGTGGAGGGAAGGGAAGGAACACTACACCATTTTTTCGTCAGACAACGAATGACGTCAAAATTCACCTGAAAGAAGCCTCAAGCAATCCTTAAATTTGATTTGAGTACCTTACATTTGTAAGTCTTTTAACGAGAAAATTAAATTACATTTTTAGAGATAATATGGACATTAGAAAGTAGAAACTTTGCATTAAAAAGAGTCTTGCGTAAATACGTTCAGTTTCTATATTGGAAATTTGTTTTTATTATTATTTTATAGCTTTTTAATAATAATCAACCTCCTTAGATTAACAAAGGTTTTTTACTCAGGAGTATAAAATAGAAGGGAGATATTACTGACGCGACCCGCCCTACCATATGATGATTATGCATTGCAGATTGTTCTTCAATTGAAGAAGAAATATTTGTCTGGTGTACAATTACCGCGTATACGTGAACCTATTCTGCAAAGCATGTACAATCTATGGTAGGGCTAGTAAGGCGGGCCGCGTCACTTGTATCTCCCTTCTATTTCATACTCCTTGGTTTTTACTGCCGAAGCTACCATACAAATTTGAGCCTGTTTAATTGTTCTTAAAATTTGAATTCAGTGGGTGAGCTGCGTCAGCTAGATACGATAAACATTTTCAAATTTAGATTCTTTGGGCGTGAATAAAATTTCAAAATTATTAAATCATCCTTTAAACGTGTTGAAATTGAAAAAAATTGTGACGCTGGATAGAATAAAATAAAATCAAGGGTCTATGTACCAGTTGTACATGACAAAAAAAAACTGAAATTAAATCCCCAGGCTGCAAACATCGAACTAGGAAAACTAGCAATTTTATCACCAAAAAGTTTTAACAATCCGCCCTTTAATTGCTTCTATTAAGATCTTTGAGGAAACTTAAGGATTAACTTTTTTTAAAAATTGGATTGCAATCCATTTTGAAATTAAAACAATGCTTAGAAGCCAGTTAACTTTGAATTTTTGATGCTTATTTAAAAGTTAAAATTATGATAATAATTAGTCAATTGTTTGTTATCTTCTTTTAGGATTACGGATTTATTTTGTATCTATGCCCTATACGAAACAATTTACTTGTGCTAAGTTTCGGAGTGGGACAGATGAAAATGTTACTTGAATTTTGAAATGCTTATTTATATCCTATTAGGTTTTTTGTTGTAAAATTTTGTATTGCCCTGTGCTTTTTTTTATTTTGAATATGTTTAATGTATATTGTACATAACAGTACGGATCGTTCGGAGGGTATTTTAAAGAAACATTTTTTTTCTTTCTAAACATTTCAATCCTAATTTCCTAGATGTTTACTGGCCGGGCATTCCTTGCTACTTAAAGATATCCTGGAGAACCTGGAGAATATTGAGGAGAAGGAGTACACTGTCCTCCTCCCCTCTGTACACAGCCAGCACATGGAGAACCTTATCAAGGTTGTCTTTTTTTATAGGACTTGATATTTGATTGCAAAATCCTTTCCTCGAAAATTTGTTTATCCTTATTGTTAGGAATGATGGTTGAAATCCCGAAAAAGTTTCATGTTTTATTTGAAGTGAAATGGGAAAACAAATTAATTGAAAATATTAAAAAGAAAAATTTTCCAGTTGATGTTAAACTTTTAACCCCCCCGTCTTCGAAAATCATTTATTAATGTTCCGGTTTAAAGACATTTTTACTGAACACTTGAATACACAATAGAATTTGAAAATGGTTGTATTTTAAACATTTGTTTTCTTTTAGGTTCTGTATGGAGTAGATAATATTTGTTTTCTTTTAGGTTCTGTATGGAGTAGATAATATTTGTTTCTCTTATTAGGTTCTGTATGGAGTAGATAATATTTGTTTCTCTTAGGTTCTGTATGGAGTAGATGATATTTGTTTTCTTTTAGGTTCTGTATGGAGTAGATAATATTTTTTTTCTCTTAGGTTCTGTATGGAATAGATAATATTTGTTTCTCTTAGGTTCTGTATGGAGTAGATAATATTTGTTTCTCTTAGGTTCTGTATGGAGTAGATAAATCAAGTTGTGTTCCGCTGTATTTACTCCGGGTTCTCGGTATATCTCAGGAGGAAACTCAGGGAGGAGGCTTTAACTCTCTTAGATTTAGTAGAGTTTAACACAGAATTTTGAAGAAAATTTACAAAATGTCGCCTTGTCATTTTTTCAATGGGTTTTATACTCAGTAATTGTAAAAATAAATAAGTAGCCAAAAAATAATATAAATATAATTATTCAATAAAAAACCTAAATTTCTGCATCATTCCATTATTAGTAGGTTTAGAGAACGACATTTTATAAATTCTGTCGGTGTCTCCCAAGTTCTGGGTTAAGTTTGGAGTATCTTCTTACTTTTAAGTGAAGATGCATTTGCATTTAACAAGAATTAGTTTTTGTAACATTTGAAATTTTATTTTTTAGAAAATTGTTTTTAATTTAATTCATTTTTTCTCATTGGTTGAGTAATGTAGTCTTTATTAAGTTTAAATAGAAATAATTGAAAAAAAAACAATGAAAACTTTAATATAATGTCAATTTAATTTTATATGAATTTTCAATCAAGATCGCATTCACAAAACACGATAAAATCGTTATTTCTCTAACAAGCGCGATAGCGTAGAACAATTGTTAAAGATAGACAACATCCAAGCAATTTTTGAAAAATCTCACCAGGTTTAATGATTTAAAAGCCTTGCTTTAGAGAACTGAGAAAGAATCAATGAATAAAGAAAACGCCAGACCCAATTCTCCTTTGTCAGGTAGGAATTTGGTAATTTTAATTTTTATATGATTTTTTTCCCCAACTGAAGTCGAAACTATTTGTTTTTTTTTCTCAGTGCTAAGGATCTATTAAATTTAGATGCGGATCCGGATCCTGGATCCGCACTGGAAAAAAATGGATCCGGATTAACTCCGGATCCGGATTACTGATTTTTTTTAACAAGAAATAATTTTTAAATTTTTTGTTTTATTTTTTCGCTTATTTTTATCCTAAAACTTGATGAACCATTCAGAAAGGAGGAAATTTTTATAATCTCTCTTTTTTCAAAAGTTTAGATTTGGGTTTTAGGAGTTAAAAAGATTTTTTTGCAGTTCTTGGTTGTTTTTTTACCCCTTGTATCCGGATCCTAAGCACTGGTTTTTCTAAATCTCGGGCTCAAGCGTTTAACTTATCCACACTGCGGATTGATTCCATTGCTTTTGGTATCCCGGGGTTGTCAAACCCATGAATATCTTTAATATAGGATTTAAACATTAATCCTAAAACGCGTACATTGGATATCGAGATCAAGCGTTTAAGGTTAACGATATATTTTTTTTCAGAGCACATGTGCAGTTTGTGCAACGTTAATTTCACAAAACGTGGCGGACTCAGCAAGCATTTTAAAACTAAAATTTGTTTAAAACGAGGCAAGAAAGATTTAAAGATTGAAAATAATTTTTTTCCACATAATTAAATAATGCAAGAAATATTTTCATAAAAAATATTACTAAATTTACTGGGCGCTTTTTCATCAACTTCTGCTAAAGAATAATGAAAGCGGGAAAAACTTCTTTAAATTTCTCGTTTATTATGAGTTTATAGGGCTAGTAAGATTAGTAAAATTTGTTGTTAAATTAGGAGAATATCTCTGTTTAAAAACATCTCCGTCTTTACAGTTTGCTGTTCAACAATTCAATTAAATCTTTCTTCGTTAGGGTTGAAAATGCCTAGATCTCAATCCAGGAATTGCAATTCTCGTTCCGAATCCCGAGCCAGCAATTCTCGTCCTGAATCCCAAGCTAACAATTCTCGTCCTGAATCCCGAGCTAGCAATTCTCGTCCTGAATCCCGAGCTAGCAATTCTCGTCCTGAATCCCGAGCTAGCAATTCATGTTCCGAATCTCGAGCTAGCAATTCTCGTCCTGAATCCCGAGCTAGCAATTCATGTTCCGAATTTCGAGCTAGCAATTCATGGTCCGAATCCCGAGTTAGCAATTCTCGTCCTGAATCCCAAGCTGGTTTTAGAAACTCAAAAAGTAATACCCCAGAAAGATCTGAATTCAGGGTAGGAATTTATTTTTCTTATAACAGTTCTCTAGTTTTATAATACTTATTTAACTGCAACAGTTTTTCTTCGTAAATTATAAATTTGGTTCTTGTCGACTGTTGAGTTTTCTCAGATATTATTCGCAAGTTTTGAGGCAATTTTTGACCAACCTTTACCCCCACCTAGAGTCATACGAGGCTTTGCAATAAAGGAACTGAGTTTTTGTCACAAACTCAGATTTTCTAACCCCTATATCTTTGCAATTCAATTTTAGAGACCTTTGATATTTTAAACCAACAATGATTTTAGGTCAAATATTGATAGTTTTAAATAGTTTACACCATCAGGTTGCATCAGAATTTGTGGCAAAAGCTCGGTTTCTTTTCGATATAGCCGATATGGCATATTAACAAACAAACCAATGGAGAGACAAACCAAATAAATATATTTATAATTTTATTTAGTTTAAGTGTAGTAAGTGTAGTGCTTGGTTTCCTCTTGTGTCCCAAGCCGAGGTGCATATTAAAACATGCGGGAAGCAGGAGGGGGAAGAGGACCAGGATGAGGATGAGGAGGAGATAAGGGATGATGATAAGGAGGAGATAAGTGATGATGAGGATGAGGAGGAGATAAGGGATGAGAATGAGAAGGAGGAAGAGGAGGAAGAAGAAGGAGAGGAGGTGTACCAGTGCGGGGAGTGTGATCTGATATTGTCCGACTACGAGAGTATGCAGGTTTGCACCTGGGTTTCAAATTTAAGTGACATCTTATTTAAGTCTTTTAAACTAATTTTGGCTGAAAATTTCTAATGGGCTTTAAACATTAATTGTATTGGTAATAACATAAATTATAAATTTTGAGGAGAAATTGTTTAAAAAACGTAAAAAGATGGCTAGTTGGAATAATATTAAAGCACTGAATTTGATTTTAAACCTTATCCAGGAGCATGTAAGAAGTCATCCTGATGAAAACCTTCCTGAAGAAAACCTTCCTGATGAAAACCCCCCTGATGTAAACCTTCCTGATGAAAACCCCCCTGATGATATCCCCCGTAATGAAAACAAATCCGATACTGAGCTTGAAAAGGTTAAAACTTCAAAATTACACTTTAAGAAAATTGCAAAAAAAAATTTAAGTGTTTTTTAGTTTAAGGTTATTATAACTTCACTTTGAGCTATTAAACTGTAGTTTAGCACGTTTCAAGTAGCTGAAGTTCTTGATCAACCAGGGTTGATAGTCCTTAGCCTAACCAAACCCTCCAGAAGAAATTCTGTGGCAGTACAAACTTCGGATTGTATAATGCATAAACAAAAAAAATCAATCTTTATGATAACTTTCAGTAAATTGCATGTATTTTGTTAGGCTGTTAAGAACTCTGAGTTTGTACTGGAAGTCGATCAGGACGAGGTTGATAGCATAGAGATGGAGGAGAAGAACGTTGCTGTGGACTTAGATGATGATGACGTAGAAGATGAACTGGTTGCTCTAGAGGAAGAAGATGATGAGATAACCCTGGAACTAGGAGAAGAAGAAGATCTAGAAGAAGAAACACTAGTTCAAGAAATTGAATTTAGAGATGAAAACAAGATTGGCAAATCTCAAGGCAGGCAAAACAAATGTACAGCATCAAATACGTAAAATATTATTTGTGTGTCGTCTTCCTATTTCTTAATTTTTAAGTCCAACTGCATTTGAGAAAAACTTGAGAATTTCTTCATCTAACTGATCAAAAAAATTTAATCTTTTTTTGCCCGAAAGAGTTAGTTACAGAAGAAGTAATAGACGACGATACTGAACATATGATTATTATCGACGAGTATAAGGTAAAAGCTCTTTTCAGTTCAAACTGTACACATGTTTAAAGAAGGGATTGAACATTTGAAAAAGTCTCTGGTTTGATTTTTATTCCCTTTACCTCAATGGAGTATGCGTCAGTTGCATCTTACATTTTTTCAATATGTGTCAGTTTCATCTTACATTATTTCAATATGCTTCAGTTTCATCTTACATTATTTCAATATGCGTCAGTTTCATCTTACATTATTTCAATATGCGTCAGTTGCATCTTACATTATTTCAATATGCGTCAGTTCATCTTACATTATTTCAATATGCGTCATTTTCATCTTACATTATTACAATATGCGTCAGTTTCATCTTACATTATTTCAATATGCCTCAGTTGCATCTTACATTATTTCAATATGCGTCAGTTGCATCTTACATTATTTCAATACGCATCAGTTTCATCTTACATTATTTCAAAATGCGTCAGTTTCATCTTACATAATTTCAATATGCGTCAGTTTCATCTTACATTATTTCAATATGCGTCAGTTTCATCTTACATTATTTCAATTTGCGTCAGTTTCATCTTACATTATTTCAATATGTAGCAGTTTCATCTTACATTATTTCAATATGTAGCAGTTTCATCTGACATTATTTCAATATGCGGCAGTTTCATTTTACATTTTTTCAATATGTTGCAGTTTCATCTTACATTTTTTCAATATGCTTTAGTTTCATCTTACATTATTTTCAAATAAAATTTCTATTTAGTAACCGGTTTTTTATTCTGTTTGGAAAATATGGCATGACATAACACACGAAAGGGCTGAAGGCTTTAGTGTCAACAATTAACCGAGCTTTAACATTTTAAAAGAATTAATGGCTTATATCATAGTTCTCATTCAGAATGGGAAAAATCTCAACAATTATCTTTCTTGTCTCCACTGCAGATTTCAAATAAAGGGGACTGTTATTATTTATATATGCAGTATGCATATGCCAAGTAAAATGTTGTTAACGATCCCTTAAAAACATATCTATTTAAGGTACCTAATCCTGTAGAGGAGGGGGATATTAATACCACTGAGGTCCTTGTTCAGACAGAAGACGGTGATGAGGTAGGCGGGGAAACGGGAGGGTTGGGGGGATGGGGGATAGGGAGGCTCAGGGA